AAATAGAGAAGAATTATTTTGGGCTCAATTGTAATTCTTGTTTTTCTTTCCTAGTTTACTTGTAAGATTCAAGGAGGGGCTGCAGCTCGCGCCTCTCGCTGGGATGATGTATGAACTCACTCTAAATTTGCTTCTAAATCAATAAATTTATTATTATTCAAAAAAACAGATTGGCCTAGAAGGATGAAGGTCAACAATTACAAGGGTGGTATTGATAATTACATATTTTTTTATAGGAAACAGTAACTTTCATTAAAATTTAAATTCAAATTCTTAACATTACATACCAATCATTCCAAAGCTGGAATGTTGAATCTAAAATCATAACCATTGTTACAATACAGCCCAAAAAAGTTCACTCCTGTTTGATCCTTGTTTGGTTAGAGCATCAGCAAGGCCGTTTGTTGTTCTTCTAACCCATTGGAAGTTTGCTTCAACTTCCCTTGTAAGACACCAAACTTCTCTCATAGCTTTCATATGGTTTCCAGATTCCCAAATTTCCAGCTTTCATCAAGTCTATTACTATCTTGAGTCAATTTCCACTTCAATCTGGAGTAGTCCCATCTGTTTAGCTAGTCTCAGACCTTGAAACAAAGCTAACACTTCAGGTTTAAACAAATTGCCCACTCCTATATGACTTGAGAAAAGAGCCAAAATTTTTCCTCCCTATCTCTAAATACTTCTACACCTGAGGGCCCCAAGTTACAATAGGAACTACCATCAAAATTCAACTTTATTTTTTGTTGTGTAGTGTTAGAGTAGTTCAAATAACACTGATTTGAGTCAGCTGTGTATCATCACCCACCCAAAAAAAGAACAAATTATATCAACTTTAAATAGTGTGAAAGGACAATTATGTCCCTCTCAAATAAGAGAAAATACAAATACAAGCAAGGAAAAAAAGGAGAAATTACAACAAGATAAAATACAAACAATGTACAGTATGAACATGGACTAATCACCCCATATCTCTACACCCCCCCGCCTCAAGCTGATGCTGGGAAATAAGCATCAGTTTGTCACTAAGAAATTGATGGCAAGCACATGTCAGAGCTATGGTAAAGAGACCTCCTAGTTGAAGACCAGAAGATAGATGAGGAAGGGTAATACGGCCCACATGGTATAGATCCCTGATGAAATGGCAATCAACCTCAATATTTTTTGTTCTTTCATGGAATACCAAATCAGAGGCAATCTTGATTGCACTAATATTATTAGAATAAAGAGGGATGGGAGAAGAATAAGAAAGATTAGTGTCATTCAAGGGAGCACAGAGCCCCACCAATTCATTACAGGTCGAGGGCATTGCTCGATACTCTACCTCAATAGATGATTTACAGACAGTTTGTTGTTTCTTACACTTTCAAGATATCAAGGAGTCTCCAATAAAACTGCACCACGTCCCCCAAACATAACAAATAATCCAATGAATTGATGACATACGAGGCTTCCGCAGGGTAGAAACAAACTAACAATTTGAATTGCATATGAAATGTCTAGTCAAGTCATTGTGAGGCATATAAGACTACCATCTTCCTTAGACAGCTTATGGTTAAGTTCAAGAGGTGTATCAACCTGCTTATCACCCACCAGATAAGCTGAGTTTACTAAATCAAGAACGTACTTCTGTTGATTAACAAAATACCCAAGATTAGAATGAGACACTTCCAAGCCCAAGAAGTAAGACTAAGGACCAAGATCTTTCATCTAGAATGAGTGACTTGGTGTTTGTTTTAGAGAAGAAATGCCACCAACATCATCTCTATAATCAAAATACCATCCACATATACCAACAACAGAGTGATGCTATGGGGACTTCTCAAGGAAAACAAAGAGTAGTCTACAAAACACTGAGTAAACCCAACATCAGTAATGGTGGACCTAAATTTCTCAAACCAAGCCCTAGCCCTTAGGCATTTGTTTTAAGCCATACAAAGACTTTTTCAATCGACAAACCATCTTTAGCTATATCATTATATCCAAGAGGTGGTTTCATATAAATAGTCTCCTTCAAATCCCCATGCAGGAAGGCATTTTTCAGATCCATCTGATGCATAACCCACTTCTTAATAGCAGAGATAGCCAAAATCATATGCTTTGTCGTCATTTTTGCTACAGGAGCAAAAGTCTCTTCGTAGTCGATGCCATATTCTTGCTTATAAACGTGTACAACTAGACAAGCTTTATATCTATCAAGGCTCCCATCCAACTTTAGTTTTACTAAGTACACCCAATGATTGCCAATAACAAAAGCATCTAGTGAAGGGTGAACCAGGTCTCATGTATCATTTTCTAGTAATGCCTAAACTTCAACATCCATAGCCTCCTTCCAATGCGGGGCAGCATAGTTTATTGGTAAATCTTGGGAATTTCTGTAAAAGACAACATAGCAGAAAAGGGGTTGTGGCCAGATGAGAAGCCATAGCAGTGAAGTGGGCATGAAACACGAGTAGAGCGATGTAAAGGTGGATCTAAGGTAGGAGATGAATCAAGGGTAGAAGAGAGTGGAGTACTTACTAGATCAATAAGAGATAGAGGACCAATAGTTGCAAGTGTAAGGAGCAAAGGTGCAGGGACTGGAGTAGTTTGATGCCTCTTCATGTAGACCTGGAAGGGTCATGTAAAAGTAATGGATGACAAAAAAGAATCCACTAACCCTGAAGAATCAAAGGAATACAAAAACAAACTCGAAGTATATGATTTTTCCATGTGAGAAACGAAAGAGATAATTTCCAAAAAGACTACATTCCAAGAGAAATGCACACAACGAAGTTGGGGATCATAACAAAGAAAACCCTTGTGATCAGAGCAATAGCTTACAAAAGCACACATAGCCGCTTGAGGAGTAAGAATTGTATGCTCATAAGGAAAAAAGGAGAACAAAACAAATACATCCAAATACATGGAGCATAGAAAAATCAAGAGAATGATGAAATAAGCATTCATATGGAGAAGAATTGTGTAACACAAATGAAGGAAGCAAATTAATAAGAAACACAGTAGTGTTGGTCGCCTCCACCCAAAAGAAATTAGGTGTATGGGAGTCAAAAAGAAGGGTCCTCACCACACTCAAAATATGCCCATTTCTGTTGTAGGGTACCAACTACCAAGGCAACATCTCCTCAATTCAATTCCTTGTTCTTTCGAAAAGGTTTGGAAAGCATACAAATCTTCACCATAATAATACACCCTAAATTTGAAATTAGGACTCTCACTGAGGCATTAAAGTGGACCATCACCATAACAAGAAATAACTTAAATGTAAGAATACCTCCGGTTTCTTTCTCAAAAAATATATCCATGTGTAGTTGTGTACTTGGTGCAATCATCAATAAATGAAACAAAGTATTTATATCCAAGTCTAGAAACCATAGGAGACAACCAAATATCACTATGTATAACATCAAAAGGAACATGGTTGTGCTTTGAATTAGAAGGAAAAGGCAATACATGTTAAAAAAAATGTTTTTAGAAGTCAAGGCTACGCCTTGTGAGAAGTGTGGCAAGAGTGCCATCAAGGTCAATGGGACTACCCTCTTGTGTCTCACCATCAAATGCAGTAGATGGTGAAAACCTAGTACACCTACATTAGGAGATGCTAATGGTCTTGACCTATTTACTAAAGGAGTCCATCAAACTTCTCCAGTTGAACAGGCCCCACCAAACAACACCCTACATTCATTAGCAAATTGTAATCCCGCATGCCTAAATACTAATGTTTTCATAAAAGCCTGTTTTCATACAAACAAACTATCCCATTAGGTCCTTCACACAAATACATTACCTATCAACAACAAAATTTTAAACTAGTTACCTTCAAGAAATCCTCATTGCTCATTTGTCCAATTAACTGTACTCAGTGACTAGATTGTACCCATTTCTAGTCCTATTGATAATCATCACTCATAGTTGATACTTTCTTTCCAAATAATCAAACCCATTCTTCAATTGTTTTTTAGACAATTTCTTTTTGCACTTCTTCCTAATCTTGTTTTGAATCCATGGCCAAGATTCTTTCCTTAGAGAACCACCTTGTCCTTTATCATAAATCTCTTTTGGAGCCATTTCTAACCCCTATAAATAGTATCACACAAAACCAAAAAAAAGTGTAGTTCGAAACATGTTCCACCATACAGTAACATAAAAGAGTTTATTGTTTTGCTATGTCCACACCACCAAGATATAGTTCCACGTATATTTACATACCAAACAATGAGTGTCGAATCATACCTGAAATAGTAGCTATGTAAACACTTGAAATATATAACCTGAAAAAGAAATAGACATATAATGGGGTTAGCTTTGTAAATTTCTTTCTTTAATACATTGTTTGTCCATTGTGTTTCCAAGTGCAAAATCAAATGAAGTTCTTTCTTTAATACACTGTTTTTTAGTCTAAAAAAAATATCTTATTTTAGGCTTCAACCACTGCATAATCCAAAGGCAATATGTGCATCATACAAGCCTAATCCTAACTATATGGGGTAATCTACATGATCATTCTTGACAGTGAGGCCGGCCAGAAATAAGAGGAGAAGAGAAGAGAAGAAGAAGAGAGAAAGGAGAAAAGAAGAGAAGAGATTGGCAATGGAACAGTGCTGGCGGTGCCAGCTTTATTATATTATATAGGGCGGCAGAAATAAGAAGGGAAAAGACCCTTGTGCCCCTGCTGTAAGTGAGTACAATAACAGACATAACAGAAATAAAAAAAAAATGAAATAAAAAACGCTTTAACTAGCCAAGCAGACCCTAACACAAATAACTAAATTATTTCAACACTCCCCCCCAAGTTGGAGCATAGATGTCAATCATGCCCAACTTGTCACACAGATCATTGTGCCGCACATGATGAAGACCTTTGGTGAAGATATCTGCAAGTTGTTCTTCTGAGCTGACATATGGAGTACACACTTCTCCATTTACAAGTTTCTCTCAAATAAAATGCTTGTCCACTTCAATGTGTTTCGTCCTATCGTGCAGGACTGGATTAGCAGCAATATTGATGGCAGCTTTATTGTCACAGTAGAGTGACATAGGATTGCTCACTGCAAAACCCAGTTCACCTAACAGATTTCTTATCCACATGATTTCAGTAACCCCATGAGACATCGCTCTATATTCTGCTTCAGTTCTAGATCTAGCCACCACACTTTGTTTTTTACTTCTCCATGTGACCAAGTTTCCTCCTACAAAGGCACAATACCCACTGGTAAACTTTCGGTCATCGACTGCTCCTGCCCAATTAGCATCAGTATATACTTCCACCTTTAAGTGACCATGTTTCTGGAACAACAAACCAGCTCYGGGAAACTTCTTGAGGTATCTAAGGATCCTCTCTGCAGCTTCAAAGTGAGTTGTCCTAGGATTGTGCATGAACTGACTAAGGACACCCACTGCATAAGCAATATCAGACCTAGTCATAGACAAATACAAGTCTCCCTACTAATCTCTGGAATTTCTTCACATCTTTCAAAAACTCTCCTTGACTGTCTCCCAGATGATGATTAGATTCAATTGGTGAGTCAATTTGTTTTACCCCCAACTTGCCTGTATCTTCTAGTATATCTAGTACATATTTCCGTTGGGAAATAAAGATGCCCTTGTGAGAGCGGGCAACTTCAATTCCAAGGAAATAACGTAAGGGGCCTARATHTTTCACCTCAAATTGWRWGGCTAAGAATTTTTTTAGTCTCCGTATTTCAGCCTCCCAATCTCCTGT